GAACTCTTTCAAGTGTCCATAGTCAACAGTTTCTCAATGAGTTCATGCAGATGGGCCACGTGCTAATGCGAGGTTATTGGCAAGCTTGTGAATGCATGGAGGGATGAGATGAGAATGGCATCAGTCTGTTTGTCCCACCTGGTCCAGTTTCTCCAATTCTCTATCAGGGAATGGAGGAAGTCCTTTGTATCCACCATAGTTCTTGTGAGTACCATTGGTAGCACCTGGATTTGTATCCATAGGACAAATATAGTCTGTTGATTCATCAAATTTCTTTTTTCTTAAGTTTCCAAAATGTGAAAATCCAAGTTTCTTTGGCTAAAAATGAAAAACAACAAGTTTTKAAATGAGAAGAATTAGGCTGTCCTTTAAACATTCAGTTTCATCTCCTTTTTGGCTTACTGCTGTACTTTAGTTCAAGCATGTAGATTCTGAATTAAACACTTAATTGTTTTTAATTTAGGAGTTTAATAGAAAATAAATGAATGTTTTGATATCTAGAGCAAACCAGAATTTAAAATTTCTCTCAGAACTGGCCTTTCCCTTTCCATATTATAAAGAGGGAAGAGTTAAATATGTATACACATAYATACATATATATGTGTGTGTGTGGGGCGGGGAGGGGAATAGATATATAGATGTATGTATCTCCATTCCAGAAAGCAGACTCTACCCGAACTTTGGCAGTGGTGGTGAGAGGTGTGTATGCAGTTGATTCTGTTATTTCTCTCTTCTCTTGTTGGGCCTCTGGTCCAATTAATACATTAAAATTAGTGGTTAAGTGGCGTCGGAGTAGGGTCTTCTGAGGCGGAATGTTCAACAGCATTGCCAGGGTGTCTCCATTGAAGCGAGGTTCAAGAATCTATTAAAAAAAAAGTCAGAAGATTTACTTTTTTTTTATGCTTATATGCTTATCACAATGGTAAACCATTAACAGTGCTTATGAGAGAGATTCTCTCTTATAATTTATTAGCAAGAGCAAGGAATGGAAAAATGCATGAAAATAGACACTAGTTTTCCAACTGTCTGAATAAAGTTATTTTCAGAATTTTGTGTTACAATTTTACTATTGTATTACCCTACTGTATTATTTCAGAACACCTTTTTTTTTTTCATTTATTTTTTAGGAAAAATCCACATCACTGGCATCACAATATTTCAGAACTCTAACATAGCTGTGCGTAGCTTAGTGTTGAGTTGAAAGAAGTTCTCATTCCTGATTGCTGGCCAGGCTGCTGGGCCAGACTTCAGGACAGTTGTTTATTGTGGCAGGCCCTTGGCTTGGAATTCTGTTAAAGCCATTTTAAGAAACTCTTTTAGGATAGCAGGATACTTTATCAGYAAGCAAATTCCTCATAGTACATTTTTAAAGCATATTTTAGCTTCAGTTTTAAGTTCACATGCGGTAAAATGTAAGAGTTCTCACAATGAGGCCACCATGCACTCCGCTTCCTCGAAGATTTGGTGCATATTCTGCCAGATCAACCGATCTGAGCCATTCCATCACTCGGTGATTTGACCACTGAACTACTTCCGAAGGTGAAAGGTTATTCTGTAAAAATAACCAGGACAGATGATGACTGTGTGTGCTTTCTCGGCGCACGTTTTCACTATCCATCCTCAGTTCAGATAGCTCTAATTAGGAAGCTCAGTTCAGATAGCTCTAATTTCCCCACTTCTGAAATGTTAATTTTTGTTCAAACCCACTGTTAAGCTGGTAGATATATTTAAAGTAAACCCTTTATCCTGAATCAAGTAGAATTAGATGTTACAGATGCAGATGAGAAAAAAAAGCATTTTTGAAGAAAAGAAGTATTATCAAGTCATTTATATGAAAGACCAAGACTAATCTATGCTGACCAAGTAAGACAAATACCTTCTGATCTTTGACAATTAGGAAAGTCAAAAAAAATTCCAAAATATTCTCTGAAACATTAAACAAACTTATTAAATTTAAYAAATAATTTCTAGAGGGAAACATATGAAGTTCTAGCAAAAAGAGGCTCTAGCACTTATAAGCTGAGTTTTTTAATCAGTGTGTTGCACGCCAGAGATGGAAAGCAAACTATTGCTTTAGAGGTTATTTGTATTATAATAATCCAGTGACTGGGATATTGTTATTCATTGTTATTTTCTGATCCTTTGGCTGAAATGGGATGAATTGGTGCTTGTTTAGATTAAATTACTTAAATATTCTCTTACCTCATCAAGTGGTCTCCTACGTAAACAGTGGGGGTTGAAACCATTCACATGCAGCACATGAATGGCACATTTAATACTCAGATGATGAAGCTGGCTGGTGACTTTCAGGAAGAGGAGGTCATTCTGCAAGGGTCACAAACACATACTAAAGCAGGTACCTTCAAGAAATAAGACTTTTAACTTGCTGTGCAGTTTTATGTAAACCACACTAACTATAGCTTGAACTAAAATAATAGTTTATAATTTCAAGATTTAAGTCACACCACAGTAAATGTTGAAACCTGAAGCAGTTTTAGAACTTGTTCAGTAAAAACAAAGAAGTGGGGAAGAGGGTAGGCCCCTAGATGGTTAGAAAGTATCCAGACAGTTTCTGTCTGGCTAAGATGYTGCAGATAGGACCACTGCAGCTGCAAGTGCAAACCTGAAAGAAAAGTGTGGCTCATGCATCTAGAGCAAAGGCTCCTCAAACATAATAGACGAGGCTGTGCTTTGGTTTTCATAGCCAAACAATTCACTATTTTCATAGCAGAGGAGCAGAATTAAATATTTAATTATCCAAATCTGGACAGGGAAACTGCATAATAAAATACAGTAGCTATGTGTATGGTTTGCTGCTAGTTTGGTCACAGCTTACAGGTTACTGCAGTTGCTGCTAATCTTATTGTATGTTCTTGCTAACTGACTGACGAGAACAAAACACTCCAGAAGATGCACAGGTAATTTTATCTGTAATCTTGGTGCATTGTATCATAATGGAAGTTTTTTGGTTTTTGTTTTTTTCTCCAGAAGCCAGCTTTGTCCTCTCCTTATTAGTTATTTTACTTTTTTTTTTTTTTTTTTCTTTTTTTTTTTCAATAATAGTGATTCATTAAACAACAGAAATTAAATGTAGTTATATTAATATGCTACCATTTTTTGCTTGCAAAAAAGTTCCTTAGCTGCTCACATTCAAAGTAAAATTCTCCTATATATGCACATTCTACAGTGCAGAGTCTGGTTACACAGAGGCAAAACCATTTTAGCTTACCACTGTTAGGTACTGCAACATTCTGCCATCAACTCTGGACTCATGGAACTGATCTTTGTACTGAGGCAAACCAATATCATCAAGCCATCCTGCAGAGAGAAGAACGGGGTATAAACCAGCCATAATCCACGAGGAAGGATTTAATTCCTGCTCAGCTGAATAGATAAAACCCTTCCCAAACAATTGCACAATTCTTCAAACACTTACGTGTCACCCAGATATGATCTAGTTGTGCAGACTTCTCATCTTGTTTTGCATTTATTGATTTAATTGCCAAAACTAATTTCTTCCTGTGCAATGGATGCTTTATTCCCATTTCCTATAACAACAGTAACAGAGAGTTAGTCTTGCCTGTAGCTCATATCACMTTGTGTCCTGTAGCTCATACCACCATAAGACATCTACAAATAATAATGCTATGTATTTCCGAAAGGTGGAACTCTGCTACTTGTTTGAAGGGTTTAGCAGTACAGAATCAGCAACAACGGTTGCTTGAGAGAAACAATTATCAGTTATTACCTTTTCCATGTCCTGAGGTGTTGCGGTTAACAGCGTATGGCCTGAACTCACCCACTGCCGCGCAAAAATGACGTACTGACCGAGACCAAAGTCCTCCAGCCAGTTACAGACCCTTTCAGTGCTCCACTGAGCAAATGGGGCATTGTAGTCACTGAAAAGCACAAGAAGTGTTTGAAACTCAAAAGGGAAGAAATGTGATAGTTACCAGGACCATAACCATATCCAGAGACAGAACTACAGCAGACCTTGTAGCGTGCTTTGGTCTGTGCAGTAGCAAGGGTCAGCTACCCTTCTTGTGGTAAATGCTGTGCTAAAAGTGCACTGTTAATCTGACTGCTCTGATTTTTCTTCTCATGAACAGATATTCCCACAGAAGAGATTAAGTTTTCTTGCTACACATGTTCTTTACAGGATGACTTTCCAGTTATAGTGAAATTATGTGTGTTATGAATTACAGTGAGTTATGTTAACAGGAGGATTTTGTTGTTCAGCATATTTAACAGTATCACATACTACTCAGTGCAAGGAAAAAAACCCAAATCTTTACCTTTTCTGTCCTTTTGTTTCCTTGGATCTGGATAAGCGAGGGCCAGCTGTAGCACGGAGACCACCTCTTCGAAACTCTGCCAAGCCCAGATCATCTGCAGGGAAGTTTCCCGACTGAGTTCTTCTTATTCTTTAAGAACAAAAGTACCAAAACATTAATACTAGCTTTCAGCAGGGAGCATTTTTTGTCTCATAGAGAAACTATAATGACAACTAAAAACTTTATTCATCTTCCTGTAAGTGCCATGCAGCTAACTCAAGGGGTAGCCCAGCAAGTTGTGGGAAAACCCCCTTCTTGTGTGACACCGTCAGCTGTGACCCTTCCACCCAAGGAATCCACAGTGGAGATTAGGCTCTCAAGTGATACTGACCTCAAGGAGATAAACACAGTAAAAACTCAGTCAATCAATCTTACTTTGTTTCTTCTTTTTCTCTCACTTTTTAAATTGATGACTTCTATAATGAACAGCTTACTACATTTTTTTCCATAACTAATGAAACTGTTGAAATTATATCAAGAAAACAGAGTATTTTTTCTTTCCCACAGCATAACTGTTAGTACTACTGTTCATTTCTCTGCTTTTCCTGAAATTTGCTTTATTCTTGGTTCACACATGCTAGACAACTAGATTCATTCATGCCAAACATTAAAATGCTTTGATGGGAAACAAACAAACAACAACAAAAAAAATCTTACTTTCCCCAGATCTTCTTTATCCCTTTTGGACTCTTTCTGTTTTCTGGAGACAGTGGAGACTGGGGACCTGAATCCGTGCCCGAAGACGGAGGTGAAAGGTCATCTGGGACTGCTGTGCCATCCATGGTTTCTGTTTCTCCTGTGTTAAGGACAGTAACAGTCACTTTTTGTATAATTAACAAAATAAAAAATGATTAAGTTATTTGGGAAGCAAATATTTTAATATAAAAAAAGATACTGGAGCAATAGTTTTGCATAAAAACATTCATTTTCAAATCTTTACATTGCAGAGGAAATACAGCACTTCATATGTTAATTAATACTGACAATTTATTTTCCTTGGAGGTTTCAAAAAAACCCTATTCTTACCAACCTGAAGCAAACAAATGGAAGCATCTGGAAAAAAAAAAATAAATGAACTTTTGTGCAACTCTAGAGAGTGGAGTAACTCTTGCCTTGCTTACTCTTAATACTACAACTACTCTGTCAAAAAACACTGGACTTTTACTGTTCACTTCAGTGAAAGCAGAATGAGATGGGGAGTAAATATCTAAACAATTGTATCCTAATGCTGCAGACAAAAGCAGGTGTTTCATTTGAGTACTACACTTAAGGAATTCAACCTTGGTAGTCCACTTAGAATTAGTGCTTTATAGGAGATAGAGAAGAAAAAGGAAATGAAAAAATAAGTAACAAAATTTATGTTGAAGAAGCATCTTGCTTGGATACAATACCTAGCACTGGTGCACTGACACTCCTGATGCGATCTTCAGTCATCCCAAGAAGCAGTAAGCCAGATGAAGAAGCAAAGAAGATATAAAACACCAGCAAAATAAAGTTACAGAAGAGCAAAGCAGCGAGCCAGGCATTATAAGCAGAAACAAAAAGAAAAGAAGCAGTTATGGTTTACATGGAAGTGAATGCACAGGTGTGCATGAAACCCAAGAATTCAGGAAAAAATAAGTACAGAAATAATCATTTATCTCACATATTTTTAACGGTTCTTAGACAACTTTAACATAATCAGCATATACTGCAGCACGTACTAAGCATATAGTTCCGTAAAACCTGCAGAACTTTTCAAAGGAATCAGTGTTTAGAACAACATCCAATTTCACTGGATGAAAGTGGAGTGAGTGTACTGCATACAAGAACCAACTTCCCACATGAAAAAAAACTGTATATTTAGTGTATTTAAGGATTTATAGAAAAAGAACATTTGCCTTTACAGGACTGACCATCCTTGGCTAATTGAAGCATGGACCAGTGATGAAACTCCAATGATGTGATGACAAAAGAAAATAAAATATTGAAAATACCTAAACAACACGTAGCCTACCGAAATGTTGAACCTACGGCACCTAGCAACTCTCATAAACCACAGAGCCTAAAATAAGAATGAAATGGGGAACACTGCAGAAGCACAAGGTGTATTTGTGGCTTGTGGAGCAGCATTTCCCAGCACAGTTACAGACCACATTACCTCCTGGTGCTTTTCCCTCCACCCGCAACATTCCCCACTCCGAGGGCGGCACGGATACGTACGCAGGCTCAGGGCGCTGCTGTCCTCGCTATCGGCGTCGCAGACCTCCGGCGAGTGCGACGCGCTGCACCCGCCCTGCTCTCCGTTGTGCGCCGGGCGAGGCAGCTTCCCCGGCAACGTCTGGTACTTGCTGCCTTTCGCCAGTGGCTTGTTCTGTTGACGAGGGGGAAGAGATCAAATCACATAGAGCATTTGCAGGCCAGTGTGCAATATTAATTGAAGAGTTGAGAGAAGTTGTTGAAGATTTCTAGTTGGAGCTTATGATACCATCCTCTATATGTTCCTTTAACAGATTCTTCAATTTGAGCAAAACAGGCAAGCTGACACCATGTTTCCATAATGCTGACCTTACTTTTTAAATAGGTAGATCAAAATTTGCATGTAAATTTGAAAGTTTTGAACCTAACAGTAATTACTAGCCAAAGTATGCATTTCAGAGATCTATTTGTCAACAGTTTTGGAACCTTATCAAATTACCATCACAAAACATCTCCCACAATTGGCAAAATTCCAGAAATAGAGACGCTTTCTGGAGAAGCAATGAACCTGCAGCTCCCATCAGCATTAGTGGGAGTAGTATGCATTCAGTTTGCTGATACTGGTAAGTGCTTGTTCCAACATTATCAGAAAGGAGCTTATGTAGGAGAATAGCGTGCTGAAAATATGCAAAACATAGTACCCAGAAACACAGAGTATGTGTCTAGTTAATAACCCCATTTTAACAAAACTATTTTGAAGTATTTAAATGAAGCTTTTCTATGACAAGATGACACAAAGAACATTTCAGGAAATCTCCACTGCTTTGTCTTGTTATTATTTCAAGGCCAAGGAGAGATCTTTGTAACTATATAATCTGAAAACCATGGTCCACATTCATCGATTTTGGGGACTGTGCCTCGCTCTCTATCCTTTTCAGACAAGTGCAGAAGTATAGCCAGTCATTTAAAAAAAGTAAACATGTGGAAAACCAATCATTTCAGGGATTGCAACCACACCAGATGACCATTTTCTTTCTTTTCTGAAAGGGACTGAATTTGGCTTCCAGCCTTACATCCTCAGAAGCTTTTTGATTTAAAAAAATTTCCCTCCCCCTTACTTGAAGTTTGTCAGTACATAAGCATTTTAAAGAGAAAACAGATAGGAAGTGAAAAGAGTCATACCATCGCAGCACATCACATCAGATAAAGGTTAAAAGAGTTTAAGGTTAATATACCTCTTGTTCTACAACAGGCTGTACTGGATTTCCGTCTACATACTACGGAGTTGCAGGGAGGGTAATTTCAAAATTATATGGAAAAAAGTAACAGACAAATGTTAGTATTAACATACATACACAGAACACCAAATTTAGTGTGATTTCTATGACAGCGATGCTCCTTAATGCACTGACAATATATTACAAGGTCTGTTATCTCCTCATTTCATTTTAATAAAATGGTCAACAAATGGGCTGTTGTTTAAACCACTTTATAAAATTTATGTTCTGTTGAGAACTAAGGGATTTTGCTATTTTTATGCTTACGGATAGTGCCATTAAATTTGCCTTGACTTGGGAATATGACTTTATTAATCATTAAAGCAGAACGCTAGTGTATGGTATTAAAAAAAAAAACAAAACACATAGGTAACACATCTGAAACCACAAAAACTATTGTGTGGGAAATAGTATAAATGTCAATATGGCTAGGTCAGAAACACCATTTTCTTTTTTTTTTTAAAATTGCTGGATGTGATCAAAATTTGAGCTCCACTGGAGCTGAAAAACTCCAGTGAAACAGTGCCCCTCATACTGTTTCCGCTGGATTCAATGGAAGCAGCAGAGACCTGCACTGAATTGAGAAAACTAGTTCTCTTGGGCTTAGATTGACTCCTTCATGTTTAGCCAATAACTCATACATATAAGTAAGTCTTATTTATCTCACTAACAAGCCTCATGGCTAAATTAGGGCAGGGATTTAAATGCTTTGCTAGCTTGTTATGGTGATATTTCCATTTCTTGTTGCTCTGTGGTCTCCGATTTGAGATCCCTCACATTTACAGCCAAAATGTCTAAGTGCAGTTCCATCACATCAGAGAGAAAGAATGATTCCAAATATGGGACAAGAAAATTTAGCATTTTAAATATTTAAATACTTTAACAAGAAGAAAACAGACCTTCAAAAATTCCACATACAATGATATTTGTTAGTTATTAATTTGTCATATGTATTATCACACTGAGAACAACACTAATTTCAAATTTTCGTGCTGTCATCTTCAGAAACTTATTAACAAATTCAAGAAAATGTAATGAACTAGAATAACCAAATTACTAGTGAATATTGTTACACAAATATGCCCTGCAGATGGCATTAATCATTATTTGTAACTTTTCTCTTGCATTATTTTTCTTCTCTTTTATTGAAAAGCCAAGTTTGAAGTCATATACATGTGGGTSTGTCAAAATTTTTGTCCTAAGCTTGGATACTAGATGAAAAATGAGATATCATATAAGCTTTTTTCCCCATGGGCATTTAGTGATAGTAACGTTTACTAGATCTAGAACAGAAAGAGTATTTATGTTTGATGTTTATCACAGTGTTGAAATTAAGCCTTAGAAATCTAAATAGACATAAACCAACCTTTTCCAGGGATTCACTCTGCAACTCTTCTAGACTACTTGACTTTTTTTTCTGTGGAACCCTTAAAATAAACAACAGACAACACCACAATGGTATCATATGATAGTTGTATATAATCACACAGTGTCTGTATGTAAGAGAAAAACTGTAATTGGGAGATAAACTTATTCTGTCATATTTTAACCTAAGGTACTGAGCCTCATAGTATTGGGAACTGCAGTAGACCGAGAGAGAAAGAGCAAAAAGACACGCTTTGATCAACAGTGAAAAGCAATAAGGTCCTGTGTTTAGTTTTAAACATTGCGGAGCATCTATTAATGATTTTTTAAGACGCTCTTAACCGAGAAAAAGTAGACATCAGTAACTCTTTGAGAACAGTACGTAACAGTTAGAGGCTTTTAGAACATGAAAAATGGAAGGAAAAAGCAGAAGTATCCAAAAAAATCTGACCGTATGCTTTTCCTTTCAAGTAAAGTTATTCATTCTTACCTACTTCTGTTTTCCAAAGATTCTTCTTGTGGAGAGATTAGATTAGGTGAAGATACTGGAACACTTCCACTTTAAATCAGAATAAAATACATCGTAAGTACTACAATACATATTTCTTCTGATTATAAAATTGCCCATTCATTCTTGTAATTCTAACCTTACAACTATGTGTTGTAAAATTCACATGGCAAATACTCCTTTTGCAACTACCCAACAGTTCTTGCCAAGCTAAGAACAGGCACGACTAGATGTCACCATATAAACAGATTAAGATTAAGAATAAAATAGATTTAGGAAAATCTCCATGAGAAACATAAAACAAAGTCTTGCCTGATTTCCATAGGTTTGTGGGGCACTGGAGATAGCACAGCCAGTGACAATTCTCCCGACGAGACCTATATAAAATAAAAGTTTTGAGCCTGTAGCTGTCGGGGCTGAATCTGAAATACAGTCGATCAAGCCCCTATTGACAGGCACAAAAATTCCTTCAGGGACAAACTCTTTAACACATTTCCTTTGCTA